AGACATCCATTGTGCATCTCAGGTTATGGCTTTGGGAACCCATGGAGATCCATAACTCGATTCTTGAGCCTGTCCTATGGATCGTGTGCCAGATTTCATGACACTTTTCCTTCCTGAAGAGCTTCTTTTTCTTCTACTTGGAAACATCTCATGGTCCACCACGGAGAAGGACCAGCAGGTCATCCCAGCCCCTGGGAGCACTTGTTTCTCTGCAGTGACAGCTCTCCAGGCTCAGCTTGGTTCCAGCAGGGAAACAAATGATGGAGAGGGATAGAAATTTTTCTTTAATCTGACCCAGTTCAGGGTATTTTGGGTGACTCCTCCCTCTTCCCACAGCTCTCTGGAATTACCCAGATGGGAATGAGCTTTGGTAATTCGGTCTGTGATGGGGAACAGCTTCAAAGTGGGGTTGTGTGGGAATTGTGTGGGTGAAGGATAAGCTCGGTGTGGAAACTGGGTGAAGTAGAAGCTCAATGTGGAAATTGGGACCTTCTCTCTGTTTCTCTTGCCTCAATTCCTACCCATCATCTCCCACCTCTTTTCCTCACAAACTTCTCCAGCGTCCACACGGAGATTTATTCCTCAGCTTCAGTATCCTCAAGGTGTCACTTTGTCCCTCTGGAAGAGGAACAAGACGTCCCATCACTTGGCTTTTCTAGGATAGTCTTCCAAGGGTTTATCTGAGGAAGATGACTTTGAGACCTCCATCCTTCCCTGAGGAATACTGAGATGGTTTTTCCCCCAAAACTTGTCCGACCACCAGCAGATTGTCCAGGTTCCCTTCCACAGGAGCTGCTGGAACTTCGATCCTGCGTCTCCGCCGTCAGGAATTCCGATGGCGTTGTGTAAATCCTCCCCCAAAATGATGTTTTTGAGGAACGAAGCCGCCAGCTGTGCCCCTTTGAAGTGCCAGGACGTGCCAGGCCCCGTGTTTGGGGGCACAAAGGAGGTCCCCCCGCCCGCCATCGTCGCTTTACAGTGGATGTCTCTTTTCTGGTGGGCGTTTGAACTCTTTATTCTTTGTCCATTGTAAAGGGCTTAACGGTTCCTGTGCCTTGATTCTTTCATCAGTGAAATGTTTTGGAAGGGAGGTTAGAGTCCCCCTGTGACCTGCCCTGGGTGGCCCAAGCCTGTAGCCCTTGCAAAGACATTACTTTTTTGGCCTGAACACAAACCCCTCAAACCTTTAGCCTGGCTAAATGCTTTGTACAAACAGCCGCATACTGATCTGCTCTATTCTCCTGTGATTTTCTGCTCAAGGGGCTGTACTGTGGGTTGCTTGCTATGTTTGCCACTTGCCTTGGTAGTGAAGACAGAACAATAAACGAATCCGACAGTACTGAGGCCAACACTGTGCTTGGTTGTTCTGAGAAAATTATCCTGAAATCTGGTTGAAGAGATTAAAACCAAGAAGAACTGGCTGTGTCTCTCCTCTAAAGCTCCGTTCTCTTTTTTGTTTCTTCTTTTTTTTTTTTCCCCCCCTTTAAGACTCTGTTCATTCCTCCTTCAAACCAAGTTGGTGGCATTGGTATGTAAAGTGTGACCTACGATCACAGGAGTACGGCCGTGGGGTGAAGTGTTGCATTCATTCCTGCCCGGGCTCCTCCCAGCCAAGGGCTGGAGCGGCTTTTTTGGAGTGTCTGGGCCGTGTTCTCCACCTCGTTTCTCCTCTAACACGAATCATATCAGCTCGTTGCGCTGCTTGGATGTCAGTCGTGGAATCACGGAATGGTTTGGGTTGGAAGGGACCTTAAAGATCATCCAGTTCCAACCTCCTGCCATGGGCAGGGACACCTCTCACTAGAAGGTTCCAGTGCGTTGTTAATTCAGTAGAGACTCTTCTTCTAGTGAGAATTGCTCTTCAAACAAGTGTTGGTTCAATGTGGGACCATCATCATGTGCTGTGGTCACTCACAGCTCTCCCAGCCTTCCTCCCCTATGATTCCTGAAGAATCACAGAATCACAGAATGGTTTGGGTTGGAAGGGACCTTAAAGATTCCAACCCCCTGCCATGGGCAGGGACACCTTCCACTTGCCCAGGTTGCTCCAAGCCCTGTCCAACCTGGCCTTGGACACTTCCAGGAATGGGGCAGGCAGAGCTGGGAACAATGGGAAGGGACAATGGGAAGAGAGAGCTAAAGGTGAGCTGCCGATGAGCATCCACATCTTGGGCTGGAATCTCTCTTGGGTTGCTCATGAGCAGATGACAACAGTGACAAATTCACGGGTGTTGTGCAAACATCCCCAGTCACAGCCACTTCCTCGTGAGGGTTTGACGTTCATGCTTTTGGGAGGATCTTAAATTTCACAGCTCCCTGTGTGCCTCTTCGCTCGATTCCTACCAGCTGCAAAGCCCTTCATCCAAAATAGAAAACCCGCTTTCGTCGCGGCCCTTTCAGGGTTTGCTTCCCAGTGTTCCTGCAGATATAATCGGGAACATGATGTGACCCCATCCTTGGATGGTGGGACATTGGGACCCAGGGATGTCTGAGCCACCCAGGGGAGTTTCATCCCTTGAGAAGATGCTCCAACACTGTTTCTCACATCTAAATATTTTTAGCTTCTCAGGTATGTGCTTTTCCAAAGCGGGGCTGGTTTAGGATTGATGTGGCTTTGGGGATAATTTTTCCAGATGAGGCAGTGGGGTGCAGAGGGATTGTGTGAAGATGATTTATCCCTTGCAGATCAGAGGCAGAAGGCTTGGGTTAGTCCTCCCTTGTGTGTGTGCTGGCTCGGGCAAGCTGCAGGCAAATTTTACAGCCAACATACATTAAAATGCCTTTACAGTTAGGATTAATTAAACCAGTTTTCTGGGGGGTAAATGTAAACTCCCTGTGTCCTGAATGTTGCAGGATTGGGCAGTGAAACTGGTTGGAAGCTGAAACAGCTCCGATCTCATGGAATCATGGGATGGGTTGGGTTGGAAGGGACCTGAAAGCTCATCTCATTCCAACCCCCCGCCATGGGCAGGGACACCTTCCATTATCCCAGGTTGCTCCAAGCCCCTTCCAACCTGGCCTTGGACACTTCCAGGGATCCAGGGGCAGCCACAGCTTCTCTGCCCAACCTGGGCCAGGGCCTCCCCACCCTCCCAGCCGACAATTCCTTCCCAATAATCTCTGTCCAGTCCTATCCCGTGCAAAACTCTGCAGGCACAACCACGAACGGTTCCTCCTGGCTCTGCCTTGTGCTTTTCGTGCTTTTCCTCTCCGAAACCTAGATGGGAGAGGTCACATCCCGAATTTCTCTTGGTATTTTTGTTTTTTGTATTTTTTCATTATTCCTCTCGAGCAGCAAGGTGGGATAGGAGTGCTGGTTTTCCAGGCGTGTTTGCTGCTGTCCTGCAGCAGTTCTCACTTGACTGATCACCGCGAAGATGAGCGATGGCTCCAATCTCAAAGCTCTTCTGGCGTCTGAGACTATTAAAAAGCAGAGCTGTGGGTGTCTGACAAGTGGCCACAGTGCCCCTGGAGGTACCTGTGTCTGTGTTGAAGGATGTTCTCCATCCCAAGGTTTTAATGGAAGGTGGAACGAGAAAGTTGACAAATAACCCTTCTTTGCTTCCCAGAAATAAGAACAGGGCTGAATCCTGGTGTCTAATTCATTAATCTCTTCTCGTTAGAGCCGTGGGGCTGCTCCTGGGATGGGGCTGCTCTAGGAATTCTTTCAAAATAGGAATGTGATGATTTATTTGCCCTCTTCTGCGGCATTTGCTTGATAGGTTTTGGAAGGAGAAGCGTTCAAGGAGAAGACCATCTGGCACGAAGTGACTTTGTCCATTAGTCCCTCTGATTAGCCACGGAGACAAAAGGCAAAACCCTCCTTCCTTATTGTCCAGCCATCCTTAACCCTCAGATTTGTGGAGCTTTAGGAGCTGTTCTGAGGATCTCTGTGGAGTAAAAAGCAGGATAGTTGGGCAATAATGGGCCATATAAGTGTAAAATCTATGTGCTGGTGCATATTTTCCTCTCCCTTCTTCCTCATCGCTCGGTTTCATCCCGAGAAAACCTTTCATTCCAGGGTTGAGGGCAGATGCTCCCGCTCGAGTCTTTGGCGACGTCGAGTTGTGGCTTCGCAAGGGAGGCCCCGTGGGTGCTGAAAGGAGGAGAGAGGAGATAAAGCTGTAACCAGAGAGGGTGAAAGCGAAGTGAAGTCGGGCAAAACCAACCTCGGGCGCGTCGTCAAAGGGCACCCTTGGATCCGTGCGGTCCTTGGCTCCGCTGAGTGCCGTGGAAGGACTGAGGTCCTCCGACACGGCTTCATTCAAGTGGGTTTAGGTTTGGCTTAAAGGGTGGATTAGAAGAAAAAAATGAATGACCAGAGTATGAAATTTTGGCCAGGTTACACTGGGGAAGGAGATAAACGTGGCCCTGGGGAATATTCTCTTCGCCTCGGAAGCCGATGTTGTTCAGTTGTCAGATGTCTTCATCCACCGGGAACCAACGTGCCACCCAACGGCTCTTCCCGAGAGCCACCAGATCATGCAAATGATCTTTGCTGCCCAATAATTAATGGTGCTGCCGGGCATATTTTTTTGATGAATGCTCGTGGGGCCTGGTGACAGGCGTGAAATTAGAAAATTCCTTCAGCGCCCTAAAATATAAATAGCTTTCGGAACTGAAAAGGGAGTTTTCACAGCTGAAGATTTTATTGTGTCGAGAGGAAAAAACTTTTCCACCCCCCCGTCCCCCCTCTTTCTTCTGGGCGAGTTGTTTGTCCGTTCACAAAACAAATACTCTGGAGCCCAGTGCGGCTCATGGGAATAAATTTCAGGTCGAATTAGTACAGTTTCCTTGCTGTCAGGACGGTGGAATTAATGGTGTTTTGATGACACGAATTTTGAAGGGCGAACAAAGACGCTGAAGGGAGGGAGACATGACTCCTTAGAAGCGCGGTCCTCCTCTCCCCCAGCCTCTCTTGTCTTCCCTGTCATCCGTCTGCCAATCTCCCTGTCCATGGTTAGTTAAAGGCGCTTTTTATCCTCTTTTCTTTCCCACAGAGTTTGCCAGATCCGGCCCAGTGCCTGGGTTCCAAGGGGACACGCTGCAGTTGGCCTTCATCGACTTGAGACAAGTAAGTCTTTGTGTTTTTGTTTTTTGTTTTTCTTTTAAGATGTGTGACTGAAGACCATCAGGTCTTAAGGGAAGGGGAGAGGAGGGGAAACGGCGTCAGTGATTTACGCCAGAGACCTATATTTCCCCCCCCTCCTCCTCCTCTCCTGTCTCTCGAAGCCACCTCCTTATTGAGCGCTCCGGAGGCTCCTGGAGGTGGTGGAGGTGAAAAGGGCTGGTGGGACGGGGCTGAGGAAGAAAGCCAGGCCTGACCCTGGGCCGGTGGGGCCCATTGTGCTCCCGTTGGCTTCTGCGGCCGTGGCGCGGAGGGAACGCGGCGGCTCCGCGGGCGGACGCCGAGCAGGTGGTGGAACAGAGAGAGCAGTGATGCAGAGCCCGCCCGCCTCGGGGACTTTTGTTCCTCAGATAATGCCCCCAGAGGCGTTTGAGAGGGCAGGGGGGATTTTTGCATTCCCCTGTGCCCCTTCGAGGGTTTGTGGCCCTCTCTGGCTCGGCCACCCCCCCCTCCCCGGTCCCCTCTTGCCCGGCCACGAATGACAAAGTGGCTCTTGGGGAAGGTGACACTGGGGAAGGCTCCACCCATGGGTGGCCACCTCTGGAGGGGGCCCCATTAGAGCCAAGTTGACCACAGCAGGTAGTGAGGCATCTGTGGGGCTTGGCAAAGCCAGTTTAGGGAAAAGGGCCATTCTGGGGAGTCATTTGTTTGGGCTAGAAATGGGCATTATTGATACACTAGGCCGGGGGGAAAAGTGAGGTGGTCCTGTCATCTCTTGGCACCGAAGATGGATGGGTTGGATAGAAAGTCTGAATGAAGTAAGACTCAATGACTGATGCTTCTCTCCTATTAAAACAATCTTTTTTTGTCTGTTAAACCCCCCTGGCTTTGTCCCTCCTGCCATCATGATGCAGTGCCTCTTGTTTTCAGGGTTGACGTAGCTTGCATTCTGAAAACTTTTGGGTGCCGAGGGTATTTCTTCCATCTGCATAATCCCTTGTATCGATGATCTCCTACCACCGGGGCTCTGATTCACGCTTGGAGCCGCTTTTTAACCCGTCGGGGTTTGAGAACTTCTCAGAAAACCCGATTGATGCGCGGGCAGCAATTTGTCATCCCGCGGCGCTTGTGCGGAGCAGCGAGACGTTTTAATAACGTGGAGGTGCCTCTTTTCGGTCTTGGGCCTGCCAGGAGCTGCCAAAGTTGTTTGCAGAGCGGTCAAAGTAGTGGCAGAGGTGTGGATTATCACTGCCCTGCCTTGACACTTTTATCTTCATCAAGTGCTTCTTGGCACTTGGTTGACCGGGGGGACCCCACGCGCCCGCGGCCTCCCGGGTGTGAGGAGACGTGGAAGCTTTGGGCCTTTTCCAAGCCCCAGGGTGGGAATGCAGGGGTTCTGAAGAGGAAAGCGGTGGCTGTTTGAAGAGTGAGACGCCTTCAAAGTGCTCAGAGAGGTTCAGCCGTGCTGAGGCAGGGAAATAAATGTGTGTGAGGTTCAGAAGTGCAGAGCTCAGCCAAGGGAATCCACCTTGGGGGAGGAGAAGGCTGAGCCTGCTCCTCTGGCAAACGGTCTTCTTTGTGCATGGGGGTTTTCCTCTTTGTTTGGGAAGGGAATCCCAACTTTTTTAATTGTATTTAGAAGTATATCTGAATTTCAAGGCCGGGTTGGATGCGCTCAGAGCAGCCTGGTCTGGTGGAGGGTGTCCCTGCCTGTGGCAGGAGGTTGGAACTGGATGATCTTGAAGATCCCCTCCAACCCAAACCATTCTGTGGTTCTGTGAGTACTGTGAGGAGAAAGGGAAGATGCTCCTGCCTGTGGACTATCAGGTGAGGACAGGCAGTCCTGGGTCTTCTGGATCACAGGGATGCTTGTTGATGCCCAGTGTTGTACAGATAGTGGACAACACCTCACTGCTCCAAGCAGAGATGATTCCACCTCTCACTGCCTTATCAAGTTTAGCAACAGCATGGAAAGGTGAGATAGTTCCAAGATCCCCTGGTCCTGACAGTGGCCTATGGGTCACCCAACTCCATCCATGTGAAGCTGTTTCGTTCTTCAAGTTGGTTTTAATTTGTTCTTTTTGCACGTTGTGTTCTCTGTCTTTATGCCACTGAATTAAACTGAAATAAGGTAGTTTTAAATTAGATCTTGGGAAGATGTGAGGGTGGGGAGGCCCTGGCCCAGGTTGCCCAGAGAAGCTGTGGCTGCCCCTGGATCCCTGGAAGTGTCCAAGGCCAGGTTGGAGCAACCTGGGCTAGTGGAAGGTGTCCCTGCCCATGGCAGGGATGATCTTCAAGGTCCCTTCCAACCCAAACCACTCTGTGATTCTGTGAAATGTTAACACAATATTGACTTAAAAGATACCACCTGGAACTGTTTGTGCTTCTGGCTGTTTTCACTGGGCAGAAATGCACCAAAATAGGGAGGTTAAAGGGATTTCCCCTCCCTTCCCAACATAGTTCAGTAGTAGCTGTTACAGAGCAATTGTAGATCAGAGAAAAAATTCAAAATAATGGGGGGTGATCAAGTTTAGGGGAATGACCAAAATTGATTCTTGGTACAGTAAAATATGAACTGATAGGAAAACGTGGTGACTCGGTTTATGTCTTGAATACAGATCCCTGTAGTGGGAAATAAACACTGAAAAGGTGCTGTCTTGGGGCATCAGAGCTCCTCCTTGAGTACATTGCAGGTCTGATTTTCCTCCTGTGCTCAAGGAAATTGGGAGCAAATCCATCACCATGTGGTGAAGAGGAAAAGAGTCAAGCCCAGATGATCAAAATCACTCTTCCGAGCAGACAGTAATTTAAAAAGGGGCTTTTCTTCCCATCCTGGGACAATTCTAAATCCACAAATACCTCTAATGAAGTGCTAAAATAAACCAAGTTGCATCTCAAATCCTTCTGTAGGAGTGAGACTTGAATATTTAAGGTTTTACAAGGAAACAATGGTTTTCCCCCTAGAGTTTAACTTTGCTCTTACCCCCTCAGTGCTGTGTTTGAGGAATCTAATCCCACAAAAAACCTTGTTAAAATATGAAATAACTGAGCCTTCTGCCTCTTGCTTTCAACCACTGGATGTCCAAATCCCTCTGAGAATCTCCAGGAGCTTTGGGATCAGCCCAGAGCCTGCTCTTGGGATCAGTTCCTGTTTTTTTCTCCGGCTTCTGGCCAGCTGAGAATGCTTTAACTCTGCGTTTCCATGGGTTTGTTGGGAGCAAGGGAGTGGAAGAGGAAGGTCTGATGTTTGTCTGTGGAGCTGCTGCAATGCTGATCTCCCCTCACAGCCAGATCGACGCTCGTGGCCGCCTTCCAAGGGGAATCTGTGTCCAGCACTCCAAGAATTTCACTCTGGGCTCCGGTGAGGGAATGTAGGGGGTGGATTAGAGCTCTGCTCCAGGCCTCTCTCTCCCTCTGTCCAGGGAATCATAAATCCCATGTGTTGAATTTCCTCTGCGAGCGCTAAATTCAGCGTCGAGGGAGATCTGGGGAAAGGCAGGTGGGAACCCACCTGGTTGGAGGGACGTGGATGTGCAAGGGATGGGGACAGGGAGATTCCACTCCTCTCCATCATTTTCGTGGTTTATTTTATGGCTGTGACTTGGTGGGTTTGGATTTCAACATCAGCTCTTCAAAGCCCAGCAGTGAAGTTAAGACAGACAAGATCAGGGTTAGATGGGATATTGGGAAGGAATTCCTGGCTGTGAGGGTGGTGAGGCCCTAGCACAGGTTTTCCAGAGAAGCTGTGGTTGCCCCTGGATCCCTGGAAGTGTCCAAGGCCAGGTTGGATGGGGCTTGGAGCAACCTGGGCTAGTGGAAGGTGTCCCCTGCCCATGGCAGGGGGTGACACTGGATGGTCTTTAAGGTCCCTTCCAACCCAAACCATCCCGTAATTTTGTGTTTACTGCTTGTCCCATAACAGGTATTTTGTGTGTATTTTCCCATGTTGGAAAGCCAGTTGTGGTTGTTGTGGGCTCCTGTTGGATCCTGGCCCAGCTGGGGAATGAAAGGTCTCCCTCTGATGCGTTAATTTTTTTTCCTAATACCTCTGTTAGAGATGCTTAATAAAAACTTGTTCCCCTCAGGAACTCAATTCCCATCTATCCCTTTCATAGAATCCCAGACTGGTTTCCCAGGGAATGGTCATGGCCCCAAACCTTCCAGAGCTCAAGGAATGTTTGGACAACGCTCTCAGGGACAGGGTGGGATTGTTGGGGTGTCTGTGCAGGGCCAGGAGCTGGATGGATGATCCTTGTGGGTCTCTTCCAACTCAGGACATTCCATGATTCTCTGAGATGTATAGCCCTTTCTCCTGCTGCTTCCATGTGGTCCAGGGCTTCCATACCCAGCTCAGGGCATAGTGAAGGGAAAGCCCCTAAAAATTTGGGCCCCTTGACACGACACTGAAGGCTCTGGCCACCTCTGTGCTCTGGTACCTGAGGCGTTGTGATGGTGGGAAGGTGGAGATGATCCCTCCAAGCGCTCCAAGGGACCATCCAGAACAACATTCCCACCATTCCCACCAGGCAGGAAGCTTTGGGTTGGGTTTTTTTTGAACCTGTTTTTACATATTTTGCTGTTAAATGTGGTTTAAAGTCACGAGATATCCGAGGAGCAACATGAAAACAAGACACTGAATGAGCCTCTGAGCCAGCCCCGACTCTGCTGCTGGGGAAACTGGTTTGGCTGATTTTTTCCCAGCTTGTTTTGCTGGTAGATCCAACAGAAGCTGGAAATCACATTAAAGGGCTGATCAATTAAACGAACCATCCTGGCGAGGTGTCTCCTCTCCGCATGTACTTGCTTGTGTCTCCCAAGGGCTCTGTTGGAGGAGGAGCTGCAGACAGATGAGCCGGGTTTGTTAGTCACTGGATGCAGCGGGGCAGAGATGAAAAGGTGACTCATGGGTTTTTTCAGCTCGTTTCTGTGGCTGTTTCTCATCTCCAGGTTGTTCTCTGGGCTCTCATCCCCCTGCCCCACTTGCCCGTCTTCGACCTCAGCTCGGC